GGAGAAAAAAATTTCCCAGGAAAAAACTTTCTTTGCGGCTAGAGATTTTCCGATCAGCCAAACAGAAAACCAAAACCCTCAGTCTCTCACTCCTCTCTCTTTCTCTCTCTCTCTCTCTCTCTCTCTCTCTAAATCTCCCAAAACGACATTACAAAATCCTCTCTCTATCGTTCGCCTTTTATTTGCGACACCCCGTTTTTTTCTTTTCTTGGTGGACTGATTAAGGAGGAGAACTGGTAACGTCAGCGGGGATGTTAAATTTACGGGCTGTTAGGTTTTTGTTGTGACGGTCGCTTGGTTTTTAATCCAGGCCGTCCGCGTGGGCTGATTGCAGAAGGAATCGACCGGCTGTGAGGGTGAGATTTGAGGGTTTAAGATTGACGGTGAGATTAGATGGGCTTGCTGGTCGAGGACTAGAAAGGTTTTTAGGGTCGTTTTTTAGGTTGCTTGTTGGCAGAAAAGCGCCGTAGCGTCGTATTGTAATTAGCACACTAATGGTTAATTTAATTTTTATTTAGTAGAAAGATAATATACTTTTTTCAATTAAAAAAAAAGGAAATATTAGAATTCAAACGGCAAGTGATTTCACGTTCTTCTTTTACTTTCACACACTCGTTTCTTTTTCTTAGCCTCAAAATTTAGTTAATCCAAACGAAATTAGTTAGCAGAAACAACTTGTGGTTGTGGAATGCAGAGACCCAAAATATATGGAATGTGAAAATTACTTTTCTTTTAGATTTTAATTTTTGTAATTTAAATTTACTTTTGAAATGTAATTTGAATTTCACTCGTTCTAGTAGGCAAATATTTTTCTCTTTAATGTTCCTTTAACAATGTGCGGATGTGAGCATCGAAACCCCAAAAATCCCCATTAACAATTTTATTGAATCAGATATTACAATAAAACAATTAAATTAGGAAGTGAAAAGAATCGCTCAAATTGAAGATTGGTCTCCTTGAGGGTAGAAGAATGTTTGGAAATAATTATTTTTTATTCTCCCAAAAACTTATTAGAAAAATGTTTTACAGAAAAAAGACATTGTGATATATAAATTTACATAATTATAGAAAATACTTATCAAAATTAGTTTATCTGTATTAAATCCAAAATATATAGTTCTTGTCAAATAATTCTTAAACAGATAAAACAATTTATAGGTTACTTTCTATGGAAGGACACTGTGGACTTGATGGTATTAAAAGGGGAATGAAGACTATCTTCGGATTGTCTTTGTGAGGATCCAGATAATCATTTAATCGTGTCCGTTCATTATAAATAGTACAGTCAATTTTTGTCAAATACTATTTATGTTCAATTTTAAATAAAAAAATTTAGAATGATTTATGACCGCTTAATGTACGATGAATTGACTCGATTAAAGGATCCCAGAACCTTCACAAAGAAGATTTGGATAGGATGCTCATTCTTCAGATGGTAGGACGGTTGCAACCTCAAATGCAGAGCATTGTCCGCCCATGGTTGCAGGTTTACATACAAACTCAAATGCTTAAATTGTCATTGATCCCTTGCAACATCACAAATAACTTTCATTAGCTCAAATATTTTATCCCGATGAGAAATTCATTTCACTATGCATACAGTGGAATCGTAATTTAAGCGAGGAGAAATTGTAGCATAAATTTGTGAACAACCAACGAATATTGCAACATTGATGTTTTGCTTTGTATAATAAATGTTCCTCACAATATATCATATTGTTGGTAAGAATTTTGTGACATAGTTATGGGTAAGTTTGGACACATTATGCTCGGATAAATATTCGTAAGTCGTATCAAGTTGGTGTTGTCTATTATGAGTTGCACTGAAGCGCATGCCACATGAGATGAACATTTTCTACTGTTATGTTCTCTCTTTGTTATGAGAAGTGTGTATGATTTCATTTACGAGATCTATTTCACAATTCGATTTGTCAGATTTTTACAAAGTGGGGATCTCACTCTTTGCTAATACTACAAATTTTAGGACAAAAGCTTCATAGTGACACGTAACTTGGGAGTTTTTGGTGGTCGTGGCCTTGTTCATTCTATCATCACCGGGCATTTTGGAATCAACATCGGTGGAATGCTGGGGAACGATGACGATAATATCGGGGAACGAAGGATCGCCAAGTGCATTTGCTCTGTTTTCGGCCATTCATGTCTTGTTAGGGGTTGTGCTGAAGTTAGAAAACGAGAGCATCAAGAGTTGGTTAAGATGTTTCAGCAAGAATCTTCGTCTCATGCGCAGGTACGAAAAACTGTTGCGAGTAGACTCTCGGAAAGTGCTGCAGGTTATGTTCTCATCAGCTAAACAAAAAATACGCAAGTTATATGTTATACGCTTTATTCACCGAGTAAGTGCATTTAGTAATACAAGAGGGTTCCTCGTGACATGTTTTTGTTGGTCTATGCATGAACGACCGACAGACTATGAAACACTTTGTTTGGTGCAAGCAGTGTTCTTGGCAGCTGAACCAATTTCCTTTTCTCGTTATTTTGGTCGAATAGCTGAACAAATCATATGAAGTTATTAGTTTATGTACAATTTAATTTGAAGCATTATGTGGACTTGTTTGTAGTTTGTTGAGTAACAAGAGTTATTCCATACAAAAGAGTATATTTGTCCTTCTATTTTTTTGTTTTGGCTTTTTAGCCAAATTGGTCATTAAGATTTGCGTAACTCGTTATTTTGGTTCCTAAGATTTGAAATCAATAGAAGTGATCATTGAGTTTGTCTACTATCAATCATTTTGGTCATTCAATAAAAATTTATATTACATAAGGACTAAAATGATAAAAATACCCATGGGCCAAATGATTTGACAAAAATTTGAGGGTATTTTTGTCATTTTAGCCTCATTTAATGGAGATTTATCATGGAATGACCAAAATGATTGATGGTGGACAAACTCATGGACTACTTCTATTGATTTCAAATCTCAGGGACTAATGTGAGGAGTTATGCAAATCTCAAGGACCATTTTTTTTTAAAAGCCCTTTTTTTAATAAGAAAAGTACGATATTTCATTTATTGATAAAATGGTATTAAAATTATACATCATGAAGAACTTGGCCATTAAATGGTTCTTGTAAACTAGATCTAAAAATATTATAATAAAGCATCACTAATCGCAAACATATAACTAGACTTCAAGCACTCGTTGCAAAACAATGAGTAGACTTCAAGCACTCATTCGAGCTCATTGTGAATCGCACAATTACACATTAACAAAAAATTTAAACTTCGTGTTACAGGGGATCATGTGAAAACAAAATCTAAAATCATAAATTAGGATAGGGAATACAATGTCCATAGATAGATCACATCACCTAATCACCTCCATGATCCCATAGATTCAACAAATCAAGCAACTCCACTCTTCACATATAGATCCAAAAGAGGTAATACCCAAAACAAAAATTAAAATCAAGCACTCTTCTTGTTGTTCGTAGGATTTATCATATATTGCATGGGCCTGCAGCATCTATTTTTCTACAATGAATACATCTATATCCACCAAATTAAAGAGTTATTAAAATACAAAACCTTAATTAAATAAATGTGCAAATGCAAAGAGCTTAAAACTCAGTTCATTAAAAGCACTTCTTCTTGCAACAGTGTCTCGAGTTTAAATTTTTTTCTCTTTAATATCGCTTGTATAAGAATAATAATATGCAATAAAAAAATTTCTGAGAAAAAAAAATTTACATAAATTAAGAACTCACACTCCATGCTGGTGACTGGATCATGAGTTTGACACTCCAACAGTCAATTTCCATCAAGTTCTGGGTTCTTCTAGAAGGATAATTGAAAAGGATTGAGTTGTAAATGTGGTGGAAATATATTAATCAAATGCATAAATAATATAAAAAACCAATAGATCAATACTGATGTTGGTCAACTCAATAAAAAGAAGTGTTTTTGTTATAAGCATGTTAAATTTTTTGTTAAAAATCCAAGTGATTTCTAAAAAAAATACTTACCTAGCCTAAAGCATACTTAAATTTTTTACCAAATGTAGTTAAAAATGTTTTTTATTGTCAAAAAAAGCTTATGACCCTTCCAAGGAGGCCCATATACTTTGATAGTAAGCCAAAATTTAGGTTTAGTTTTTTAATTGTTTTTGCCCGCAAATTTTGAATTATTTGCCATCTAGTTTTTTAATTTATTAATTATATAAAGAGCATACTATGCTAACTACTGCTTAATTTAATATAATAAACAAATATTTAATTTCAGGGCACCGTAGTACCTATTCTGCTATTCACAGGGTTCAAAAGTGATTGGGGGGGGGGTGGTTTGGGAAAGATAAATTACAATTTTTTTACCTCCATTAATACATGTAAGAGCTCTAAAACTGAAGAAAATTTTCAGCGCACCCGAAACATGGCTGGCACACGTGTCATGATACCATTGGAAAAATATTTGAAAAAAAACTTTCTCCAATTGTATTATTACAACCCGTATTCCAAATCACTGAAACAATTTGACAACCTTGGTCAACTTTTACTGTCGGATGGAGGGTAATGACAAATAGAAATGTGGAGCATTTCTCATTGATCTAATTTTATTTTAAGGGGTAAAGTTGGAATTAAAAAACTTTAGCGGGTTAGTTAAGTAACCTTCTAGATCAATGAGAGATTCTACCCTTATTAATAAAAATATATATTCATGTGAAGAACTAACTCAGATCATACAAATTAATTACTGTGACATTCAAGATTTTCTCTTAATCGAGAGGCAACTACCTCATTATTGACCAAAGTACTATACTTGAACATTAGTTGGACAACTCAGTTAACCGAGTAAATTTCTTGCTCCACAAGAGATTTTGCCCATGTCACCGAGAACATTATCTTAATGCGAGTGTCGCACTCCGAGATGAGCGCGATTAGATGATGAGTCACACTAACGTGTATAAATATACATGAGTCACCCTCAACGATACCCCCAAATATACATAAGCTTCCCCAAGTTTGCGGAAAGTGGAAAAAGGATTAAACTTAGGCGAACAACCACTCAAACTCGAGCCAAAACGTTCACTTGTTGCATGGATTGACTTGTAGTTGGAGCTGATTTTTTCTTTTATTTCTTTGGTAAGACAAACGAAACATACCGATAACACCAACACTTTGAACCTTTAATTTCCTACAATATATGCGGACTCCCCAGTCACCACCATGGACGAACCTTTACTTTCCAGGATTCAGACAGCACTTGGTGTCGGAGGTGACGATCAACAAGTAGCGTCTTCGAGCAGATCAACGGCCAGAACACCCAGAACACCGCGAAGAAGAAGCTACCCCTCAGGTTACCTTGATGTACTCAACTCCGATGTTATTGTCCCCATCATCACAACACCAAACTCTTCCTCCTACGCCAATCTCCTCGCGAACCTGAACAAGAACAAGCGGAGACAGCTCAAGCACCGCTCCCACTCAGCTCCCTCGGTGTTCACTGACATCAAGGAGCTGATTCAAGACTCCGTCGATGATCCAAGACCTGCCCCTAAATCAACCCCTCTCATCGTTCGCCAAGCTTTCATCGGTGTCATTATCTATGTCATCATCGGCATTGTCATAATCTTGACAACCGGGGGTTTCAAGGGAGAAGCCACTTACAAGCCGGTTGATGCCTTGTACTTCATTGTGGTCACGCTCTGTACGATTGGCTATGGCGACATTGTTCCTGACACGACCGGTACCAAGCTCTTCACCTGTTTCTTCATCTTGGTCGGTTTTGGATTCATCGATATTCTGCTCAACGGTTTGGTGGTGTACATCTGCGACAGGCAAGAATCGGTGTTGTTGAGCACCGTCGATGAGACGAAGTTCAACAACATGATTCAGACGTACATGATCGACAAAGAGAAAGGACGAATGAGGATAAGGATCAAGGTAGCGTTGGCACTGGGAGTGGTGATTGGTTGTATAGCTATAGGGACAATTACAGTACATTTTCTCGAGAAGATGAGTTGGGTTGATAGTTTCTACCTCTCTGTTACTTCAGTCACAACTGTAGGTTACGGCGATTTCGCTTTCCAGACAGTTGCGGGTAGGTGTTTTGCAATAATCTGGTTACTGTTTAGCACATTAGCTGTTGCTAGGGCTTTTCTGTACCTGACCGAGCTTAGAATCGACAAGCGGAATCGTCGAATCGCGAAATGGGTTCTTCAGAAGGAGATCACCCTCAGGGATTTGTTGGCAGCAGACCTGGATAATGATGGATGCATCAGGTACCCCCCTAATTTTTCTCTAATTTGGAATTAAGCCAATTTTGATGAGTTTGCTTCTAGTAAAGTTTCCCCTAAATAGAGAAAGTGGAAAGCAACCTTGTTTGCCATCCCGCGGGTTTTTGTCAAGTTCCTAAAAACTCAAAACTTTTCCCAATATGCATTTATGTTAGCAGACGTGGGTTGCACCAGTTGGCTACGGCAATGTGCCTGCCCCCTTCCCGTAGTTTAGACCATTGTCCTGTGGAAAAAAATATGTATATACATGTCAAGTTTAAACTTTCTATCTTCAATGCTGCAGCAAAGCGGAGTTCGTCATATACAAGCTTAAGGAGATGGGGAGAGTGGCAGAGAATGATATTATGCAGATATGCAAGCAATTTGATTCTTTGGAACATAGCAACAATGACAAAATTACTCTTGTTGATCTAATGGGAAGCGACATGTGAGTGATTCCAATAAGGTTTCCCTCAATCGAAAGTCCGAGGCATCACACAGATCTTGCTACAGAAATTAACAGAAGCAAACTGTGAGAATTCTGAATTTTTACGGTACACGTATATAGAACTAGGCATATGAATTTGATGTTTCACTACAGAGCAGAAAACTCAATACAATTCTTTTGTAAATACTTTTGGTTTCAAATAAAAATGGAAACTTTGACGATCTCATTTCATCATTTCTTTGGTTTCTGGAGTCATTTGACAAGTTATATCAGTCCCTATAGTTTTAGTGAAAGGTCATTTGCGTTCTCTGACATATAAAGCTTCTGAGTTCGTCACAGAGCATGCGCTGATCTACACACATTCAGGTACGGACCATATACAGCCTGCTCATCTACAGGGTATGGAACGTGGTGGGAACGCAACTGTGTTTCGGGTTTTTCTTTTCCAATGCAAACCAAACACTTTAAAACCGAAGCAGGGGCATCAAAGGCAGCTAAAATTCATTCAATCCTCAAATCTTACGGGATGCTGGCTGAAGCAATGAAGTATTGGTTTATTGCTCTTTACAATCCCATGGCAAAATGCACTGCGTATGCAAACATAAGTTCATAGCAGAAGGTGGAGCCAACAGATTTATGTAACACTTGGCCTACCCGGCAGTATGGACAAAGAGATTACCATGAGCCAAAATCAGTCAAATGTTGATTACACAATGTAAAATACTGTTTTACAATCTATTGATAACAACACGATAATCATATTATAAAGAACATAATGGACAAAACTAGTTACCATGAATAAGCGGTGTATCTTTTCACACCAAAGCGAAGATACATTCCTAGATTGAACAGGTGCAAGGGTCTATTGATACTGGAGCTGCAGCCGAATCTTTAAATCTCGCCTGTCTCTTTGCATCGTATGGGGATGTTTGCTGTTAACCGTTCAGAGAAACCAATGATGGGCAACATGTTATCACCAAGGAGCAAAACCAGTAACGTAAAACTGAACCCCAAAACTATTCCATTAATAATCAAGTTCAGGGTTGAGAACTTCCAAACGCCTAAATCACCAAGAAAACTTGACAAAACATGCTATAGCTCGAACTTCCAAAACTTGGTGATATAGGCCCTTGGAAGTTCCAAAACTTGCATCAAATTCAGACAGTCCTTGCTAGTTTTCATGCTATAAACAATTACTGCAGTTCTTAAAAGATGGCTCGAGAAAACCAGGAACATCTATGAATTAGTTATTCACACGTAATTTATACGAACTCCACCTTCTAGTTTAAAGTTGGAAAATTTAATAATAATATTATTATATTAAATTTATTAATTGAAGGGAAATTAGAAGTGGAGCCTTTTGGTAGAAAGATGCGTCTACTTTAAATGAAGAGTTGCAACTTTTGACTCTTCATGAATAGTCACATACTTTCCAAAGAGGTATCTCACATTCTATAAATAGGGAAGCCCCTATAATCACAAAATAACTTTTCATTGTTTACATAATCATACATAGAGTGCACTAAATATTAGAGAGTTTCATTGAGTCCACATGAGAGAGTTTTCAACACAATCGTGGTTCATGGAGTCTCGTGATTTGGAGTGCTACTATTACAAGGACGTGGTCGTTGTATCTTGGGAAACATGCGCCGATCAACCATGAGCACCGTAGTGGGGCGTAAACTTGTCTTAAGGACAAAGTGTCCAACACTTGCCTCGACCGTATTTTCTAGGTTTTTCTAATCCATTATATCATATTCATTTAACATTGGTTACTCATGTGCATGCATTATTGTGATATATAATTGCATGAATTATTTCTTGATTTTCTATGTGATTTATTATAGCAATTAGACCCAAGTTTTCCAACACTTTACTGCCAAAAACAGATTCGGAAGTGTTAAATTCTAATGCATAAAATGCAAACCTTACCACATTTAGAGATTGACTACAACAACCGGAGCTTTATCTGATCTCCACATTTGCCATCTTGATACTTGAAATTCTGATTCATGAACGATAAATGAAGTTATCAATAAGCATACAGATTCAGAAAGAGATATGATTGTTAAGTCTTGTCAGGGGGACAATCGAAAAACTACACCAACCCTTGAGTTCACTAATGTGCATACCTCTGTCCAACGCCAGAGACACTATCAAGAAGTTCCATCGTTTTTTGCACCTTAAAATAGTGATAAGTTCAGCTTCAATTTTGTTAAGTTGGTAATCCAGATGTTCTAAGAAACTCTCGAAAGAGGTTATTCCCTTCAAGCTACTAATTGTCTCATCTTCATTCCAAGCTCCCTTATTTAAACGTTCTCGAAGGTCCTCCCTTCTGGCTCAACAGGTAAGCTTTTCTTGGTTGTCTTTAGGAAGCGGCGTTTCTTTATTCAGATCATTTGGGACAAATTCTTTGCTCTCCTTCAAATCTTCAGCAACTTCCGTTGTTGGTGATACAATTCGAACAGGACTAAAAGCATCTTCTCTGACAAGTCCAAGATCCAAAGAAACATTCCCGATTAGCTGCCTTTCTTTCAGAGAAATCGCCTGAAACCAAATTAGTCTTCTTCTGATCATATTATCACTGAAAGGTAAAGATCTTGAATAAGTTACAGTAAGTGAACAAAGATTGGAATAAGAACATTAAGAAAAAGTATATCTTACTAGTGGTTGCTATTTTACCAGTTGTAACATTATGAGGAAGGAGGTTATGAATTTGGGACCTCCATTTCAAAGATGAGTGGCTACCAACTGAGCCTTACCCTGACCTCCTTTCTAAAGGCTCGACTGAGCTAAGATAGCGTATAATATCTTCTTTTATGCAGTCATGATTAAGTTTTGACTACAATTTGCAGACAATCCATAACCACATCTGGAAAAGTTGAAAACATGGCAGCTTGAAACATCATAAACCAATTACAGACCTAAAATGTCCTTTTTAATTCGGTAAACAACCACTAATTTTGGTGATAGTCGATTTTTGTCAATGGAAACATAATGGATTAGTGGAATTCCATCTTAAACTGCATTATTAAAAACAATGGTTTAATCCAGTATTCCTCCACTTACACTGGAAAATCTCTTCCATAATTATTAACAGTTTATTTTACCTCATTAAGCTTTGTGGAAAGCTCATGGAAAGCTCATCGAGCAACTCTATGCGGTGCTTTGACTTCTTCCATGACCTTTTTCTTCTGCAAGAGCTGCTCCCTTGCATCGTCTTCCTTCCCGGTTGGGACATTAATTGCTGCTTGCCGTTTCAGCTTCTCGGCTGCCTCTGACAGACGCAAAAGCCTCAATCTTGCATTGTTTGCTAAGCCAACAACCACGAAATGTTCTTAAAATTACGTCACATAGTTTGTTCTGAAGTCCAGAAATTCACCAAAACAGTAACAGCCAAGAAAACAGACAATTTAACTCAACCCATCAAACTATTGGATTGAAATTCATCAACCACTTCTTGGTGCAGAAAATCTAAAGATCACATTCAAAAATGTGTAATTTTGTAAAAGAAAGAAGCTTTCATACAAATTATTAATTAATTATCTACCAAAAAAGCTTATAACAACAAAAGAAACAAACAAGGCGGGAACTTGCAATAAATTGAGCATAAAAAAATGTAGTCTTTCAATGAAAAAGGAAAATGGGTAATCCCCAATCCATATAAAATATTATGAAAGAGAGGAAAGCAGGTGTACTGTTGATATATATATATATATATACACACACACACATATGTGTATATATATATATATACACATATGTATATACCTTTGGCTCTGGCGGTCTCAGCCTCAGAGTGGAGCTGGCCGAGATGGGCACGTAGCTCCTCTGTGTTGACGTTGGAAGCCAAGCACATGGGAGTCCTCCATGAAGCTCTCCGACGAACAACCATGGCTGTTCCACCACCACTCCTCTGTATCATCTCTCTCTCTCTCTTCTTTCCGGATGAATGGGGGTTCCCCCCATCGATGAGGCCCATAGCTTAAAGCCTTATGGTCTAGAAGGGTGAAGCCTATTTTCGAATGACCCAAAGAATACCTCTCTTTGAAATGGGCTTTTAGATTGAATATTACTTTAAGGCCTCGTTTGATTTGGATTGAGTTTTAATAATTCACTAGATTCAGAAAGAATGGTACACCTAGCTTCCTCACCCTCATCAAATCGACAAAGTGTTGAATGGGCAAATGGATCCCAACTTTTATAACTTATACAAGTTGATGCGAGAATGTGAGTACAAAATCTCACATTGATTAGATCAAATTATGTAAGGGTTTATAAGAGGTTGAACTATTCTTCATATTGCCAATTGGTTTTATAGTGAAACCCAACTTTTTTCATGTCATCAAAGCAGGTTGGACATGTCTGAAGCCTAACGGCCAAACGTGCTCCACATCATCCCATTTGTGTTGTCCACGTGTTTGGCTTGAAAATTCGTCACACGTGAGGGGGTATGTGAGAATGTTAGGACAAAGTAGGGCTATGTTGGGCCACTCCTCATATTACAAATTAGTTTTTATGATGAAACCTCACTTTCTTCAGTTGAAAATAATAAGGTTTTCTTAGTTGTTTTTCGGGTTTACCCCACTAGAAAAAATTTCAAGCTCAGTCCCTGTATACATATCATTGCTTTCTTTTCGGCAAAATTTCTAATTTTGTTTTTCTTCTCTCTATCGCGCCTGATCAAATCGACTAATTGTTGAATGGAGAAATGGATCCTAACTTTTATAATTTGTAAAAGTTAAAGATAAAAAATACAGTAGCATGAGGAAACTTATTCCTCATAATTTAGATAAATATACAGCTCACATCTGATTAAATCCTAAACAGTGGTTTAGACACAAAACGTGGCTAATCTAAACTTCATTCCATTGTGTCCCAATTTCCTTTCTTTTGCTTATCACTTGTGTCAAATTATAACAGTGGTTTGTTTCCTATCTTACTTGCATGATATAATAGTTAAGGGGATTGATCCCCATACATTTGTTTTCTTGTTGGATTGTTCCTCTTCTAGTTTTTCAGTTGGCGTCGTTCATAAAAAACATGTTTTATCTGCCTTTTCTTATGAAGCATGCATGAATTAACCCAAGTAAATTGAAGCCTTTATCGACTGTAAACTTTTATTTCCATATGTTGTCACATCCATTTTCCTTTCAAACCGAGTATTCTTTCGCTTCGATTTGCCATCAAAATTTGGGTCCACTCAAGAAGATCGTCCAAGACTAC